CTATTCTGCTTCTGTGACATAAAATGAAGACAAACACACACACACGCAAAGTAAGAAAAAATGAGAGAACAGAAACTCAGAAGCCAAGTGCTACCAATGAAGAGCAGAACAGTGAATGCAACTTCAGCCTAAAACACTGATTGCCAAATGCTGGAGCTCAGTGCATAAAAAAAAAAAGGTTACAGTTCACTAACAAAGAGCATTTAATTTCCCCATCTGGATTTTAACCAAAATGAAATTTGTTTTCTTTTATGTGGAAAGCAACTGTTATGGGGAATATTTTTAAAGCAAAATTGGTTGTTCATGAAGGAAAAACAACACAAGATCAGGAAAAAAAAAGTTTTCACAGAACAGGGCTCTCTAGATTTGTCCATTTGGGGGGGATTTCTTGCTGCTAGTTTTCTAGTATGAACATTGAGTTGTTTTGTGTAGAAAGAATACAAAACATTCTCTAGGTGGTTCATGACATGGTTTCTGACTAGAGGAAGGTAGTTACTGGTAGGCAGCAGAATCTGGTTAGTGAGATGGGGGAACTGACTGGTGGGAAACCTGTATCTTAAGACCCTAGCAGGCCATGTAACACCAGACAAATGCCTCTGGGTGGTATTTTTATTCAAATACATAATTCTACTTTCTGCCTAAGGTTGGGAGTGTGTTTGACCCTGGGAGAAGCGCTCAGAGCAAAAACAAAATTTAAACACAGAGTGGCCTGAACAGCAACTATAAAGAGGTGAGGCACAGACTACAGCAAGTGATTTCATGGAGTAGATTTTGAGGTTGGCTCTGCTACCTTGTATCACCTGATGGGGACTTGGTTGTCCCCCTTCAGCAAGGAGAAGGAATGGAGCTGTCGCCTCTTGCCCGGCTTGCACCAGTATGATTTGAGATGGTCTGAAAAGTGATCGGTAACTCATAAACAAGTCCTGGTGAGCCTGACACTGAGGTCCCTTTTGCCTTCTTCCCTCTCTATTCCCAGAGAAAACATAAATTCTTGGGCTCCCAAAGATGTGAAAAGGTTAAATAAGTGATGTGCCTTGAGGAGCTGGAGCACAGCAGGCGTGACACCTGTAAGTAAATATGGCAACTGAAGAAAAGGATTAGGGTTGTCTGCAGTGCTTCTCCTCCATTTGCCTTTTTTTCTGTCTCAGCTAACCCACTGTGCTGCTTATTTCACTGTGAGTCAGTCTGGAGAGAATTTTTTTTTTCCCCCTCTCTCTTTTCCATCTGTTGCTCCCACAGCCACTGCTTGCTCTGGTCTTTGCTTTATTTACAAACAGCAAATAGAAGCCTTTTCCAGCTGACTCCCTCCCTTTCCCCATAGCTGCAAATGAAATCCAGCACCCACCGCAGTGCTGAGGGGTTTCATAAGGGCCGTCCCTCTCTTGCTCATGCCCATCACCTTCACCAGGGTGGCCTCTGAGCGCTGCCTCCACGGTAGGGGCAACAAGAAAACATCCCCGCTCCAGAGAGGAGCTCAAAGGCTCTCCCACCTCCCACCACTGACCCGGGAGAGGACTCTGCTTAACTCCCAGTGGAAAGGCACGCTCCAGCCTCTCCTCTTTTACAGTGGTTCACCTGGGGAGTTGTCAGCAGTGATAAAGCCAGTGCTGTTCTCTTTCAAAACTGGTTTAAGGAAGTCGGCTGGCTGTTTAATATTTAAGCTAAATGTTTAATGATTAAACAGGAAAATTGCTCTGATTGTCAAAGGACCACTAAAGCAGAGTGGAAATGGGTCTATAATTTCTGACAGGCGCAAACACTGCCCTTTTTCTGTAGCAGCATGGTGCCCAGGAGCTACAGGAGTTTCAGAAAAGCCAATTTCAATCAGCCTCTTTCATTTCATTTGCCAGTTGCCATTCCCGCAGCAAAGAGATGGGCTTTTTCCTTGTGAAGTGTGGAACATTGTGCCTGGCTTTGTTAAACAGTCTGAGACTAATTCAATTGAATTACACTTGCACTTCAAAACACAGACAAATTGCAATATAAATGTGCATGGATAAGTGACAAGAAAGGCTGGATAGCGCCAGCCACAGAGGCACTCTGATTTATCTGGATTCCCTCTTGCATGTGCACAGAAGCTCTTTTTTTTTTTCTTCTGTGAAGTAGAAGTCAAATTTCAAATTAAAACATAAATGAATGGTTTCAGCTGCTATAAATACACATAAGCATGAATGTTTTCGAACAGATAGGGGTAGTGTTTTCAGACAATGAAATATTCCTTAAATGTGTACACAATGTTACACAAATGTGTAACAACAATAACACTCCCCAAAAAGGTTGCTAATGTAGTTTCTAAAAGGACCTGTCAAAAATTCCTTTGATGTAAGTTCTCTTTAAATAAGTATTTAATACCATAGCTTAGTGTATTCAAAATCCAGCGTTGTTGCTTCCTTATGAGACTTTTATGAGATTTTATCCTTTCCAGCACAGGTAATTCGAAATGCCTGTTCAAGTTCAAGATGACAAAGTTTAATCTAAAAATGTAGACAGTCTTTCTATTACTAACTTACTGGCTCTCCCTCAACAGGGAAACTGGTAGCCGCTGGCTGAACCTTACCCAGAACATTTGCTAATGATGAAACGGTTAGTGCAGGAGGCACGTACCACTATTAAAATCCTTTTTTTTTTTTCCCCCCCACACTGAGCTTAAGACTGACACCATGACCTTGCTCAGCTCTGAAAGGGGTCTGACAACAAGTGGCCATCTGAAGTATTCCTTTGCTTTGGAAATAGCTCCCAGGGTTGAGGCCATCAGCACCAATGCTGAGATTGGCCTACACTAAATTACAGTGACTACAAAGCTTTTCTACTAAAAGTTGAGAGGACACATGAGTGTGTTAGACAAGGAGGTCAGGAAGGAAGTCATGTCGCAGGTGAGGTAGGTATTTCCATGGGCTTGTAAATACTGATTACACAAAGTAAAGTGAGGGTTTTGGCTACTGCTATACATAATATGCTTCAACATTTAACACAAGTCTGGAAAAAAAACCCATCAGCAAACTTGCAAAAAAAAAAAAAAAGGCACAAGTGAAAGAATATGAAGAAAAGTTTATTGAATAGATCCTCTTATTAAGGTTTCAAGACTATTTAAAGGCACATTTAACTGATATTGAATGACAATTGAGTTAATGGACACATGATTCCATACAATGCTTATATTCATGGCAAGAAACCCTGCATAACGATGGTACATTTTGAAACATGAACTTAGGTTAACACTAAAGTGATTACTTTAAGTGTGCCATACTCGTAACAAGAGCGGAACAGGAAGATGCATCCAATTACTGTAATTTACAAGGCAGTAATTCAAGCCCCAAATATATTTCCACTTGTAGGAAGACAGTACAGATTATGAGTAAAATGAGGGACAGCAAATTAATAGGGAGCCAGGAAACTGATGGCATCCTGAAAATAACAGCTAGCATCTGCTGTAAGTCAGAGGGGCTCTAACTTTACTACTTAATTTTACCCCACTTTAATAGCAAATGTCCAGGCTGGACTGAATCCTCTTGGGTCAGGAAATAACCAAGAGCCACTTTGTTGAAATGTTGCAAAGCATAAGACTCACTCAAATACAGACATTTCACAAAAGATAAGTGCAGTTCTTTGTTCAGTAGCAGGTAGAATAAAGCCCACTCACGTTTCTTCTCTTGCTGTTTAGTCATCTAATTCATGCTAATTATCTCCATTCAACTCATCATTATGTTTCACATTGTGATGTTTAATAATTAAGCAAATGCATTTGAAAATTAATTTCTATGTCTGATTGACATGTTTTTCTCTGCTGTGCAGCAGGGGTATTACAGGATTAACCTCAAATATTCTGAGTCACTAACTGAGGTGAGTATGTAAAGGTATTTATTAACTTGTGTGATAAAAAAAATCACACAAGCTGCAATGAATGCATTATCCAAGGCCTTTTAGTCTTTTGAAGAAAACTCTGATCTGCATTTTCCCTTGTCTATAATAAGAATCTATCATTGATAATATCATGTTCAATCAAAAAAAAAAAGAAAGGAGAAGGCAAATTTGAAAAAAAAGTGCTCCCCTCCAAGTTGATCTGTTGCGTTTTGCTGGTAGCAATTGCAGTAGATTTAATGCATTAATTATGGTAATAAAAAGAAAATCACCATGAGAACAACTTTTGCCTATTCCAGTTGTCCATGTCATTTCTCCCCCAAAATAACACTCATCTGGTAAAAGGGAAGAACAGGGGTATACAGCTTCAAGTGGGTAGTCAGAGCACCCTAGTTTCGAATTAATAGTCCCTTTTTGTAGGCAAACAGCCCTGCAGCAGCCACTGAGCTGAAAAAAGCAGTAGATCCAATCAGACAGAGCAGTCCTGGTGCAGATGGCAAGTTTCTTTCCCAAAAAGTAGTAGTAAACGGTAGGGCCGGGACATCCTGGAAGAGAGGTCAGTTCTCATTAGCACAAGGACACCCTCTCACTGTGTGAAGCAAGAGCGCAAGTGTCTGCCTCTATATTACACTGATCACAAGATCTAACTGATCACCAGATAAGGTGGGGGGAAGGTTACGAAATGTGTAATTTCTGCTGTGCCACAAGGCCACACTCAAGAGAAAGTAGAGTCACTAACTGAAACTACCCATGATTGGTTATAAAGTTGACTACACTAGACTTAAAACAATAACCTGGGCAGAATTAGACTAATTCCCTGCATTTTTCCAGGCTTCCAGGCTACAAGATTATTCTGCCTGTATCTGGTCATCCATCTCTTAGGCAGGGGTAACAATATTCCCTGGAGGAACTGAACAAGTGAATGCCATCAATGTGTGAGCTAATTAAGAAGTTGGAGTAGCCATTTGGATAGGGATTGAATCTTGACCAGGGAGTTCAACTATTGCTCTGATGTCAATGCAAAAGTAAAATTTACCTTTGACTCCGGCTCAGGCATCCAAATTTCATTCTTTGAGATCTTCCCCATATTGTATAGTATCTAAAATAAAAATTATCACATGCAGAAAAAATAAAAACACATTAGAAAAAAAAACACACTGGAAAAACAGAGCAAATCAGAACAAGTGACACTGAGTAAAAACATAACTATGATTAACTGAAAGTATGCTGAACTACTAAATATACAGATTTCTGTATTCCTATCAACAAAGGAGGAGGAGGAGGCAGCTATGACAGTTTGTGTGAAAATACAGTAGCAGATCATCAAATGATCATGGGCCTAACCACTGCTTTAAGGAGAAAAGGACAGCTCCAGTGTCATTCCAGTGTCATTACCTGCTGGTAAAAACTAGGGCTTCACACAGAAATTCACATGAACTGCTGATTTTCTAGATGATTATTTTAAACTACTTCTTAGTAGAAGTAAAAATGCTTTTTCATGTGTCAGGCTGAGAGATTCTAAGGTGAGGTTACTGCCATGCTCTCATGTGGCAAATTTTACTAGCAGTGGTACTGTCTGAACCAAAACTAAGAAGAGAACAGAAGAGAAACACCAAAGGTTAGGATTATGAAGTTCTCTCTTGGCTGTTTGACTAGTACAAAGTTCAGCAAGGATTTTTTTGACAATAAACTGATTGTAATGATTGTAGAGAGCCAGATTAATGTCTCCAGAAGAGACAGATAAGAATGTTTATAACTAGTACTCGTGGGCACGGAGGAAAAAAAAGAGAAATCGGGTAATTCGAAACAGAACAAGTAATCATGCTTGTAAGGGGGATAAGACATTCTGGCGAATGGAAGCAAAGGGCTGATTTTCAGTTAAATAACAACTCCGTGACTCTTCCATACAGAAGCTGTAACTATAATGTATATCCTTTAATGCTTTTTTTTTTTCCCTCCCTCTAGACTGTTGTAAAGGGATTTTACTGTGACTGGGAATCTAGCCCAATGTATGTCATTCTGAGGAGATTTAGACATCATCAGAGTTGCCCGTTATTCCTGGCTATTCTTTTGTAAAAGGATAGAAACAGAAGGGATAGACAGAAAGTAAGAACAATGCTCAGATTTCCACACTGCTGCACAGAAAACAATGCCAAGCATTTGTAATTACTTAAATTACTTTTAAACATACTGTGATTAATTTGACAGATGTTGTGAATGTCTAAGGGCATTATCAAGTTAAAGGGCTTCTTCCATAGGCAGCAAGTGCACTGTGTGAACTTCATTTTAAATCTCTAGTGCAGCAGTACAATGTTCTGATTCTTGTGATATTTTGGGCTTCACTTTAATAAACAATAAACTAAATTAAGTTTGTGGGTTTTTTTTTTTGGCTTGTTTGTTTGAAAAAGCGCTTTGGTTCACATTCTTTCCTGGGATTCTTCTGGGAGCCTACAAGCTGCACTCAGACCTCTAGAGCATTTTAATAGAGATGATCAAAGCAAATCAAAGGTCTGTACCTCTCTAGCTGCTCTCTCTCCTGCCTGTACTGCCCCTTCCATGTATCCGCTCCACTGGGTGGCTGTCTCTGTGCCAGCAAAGTAGATCCTGTCAATGGGCTGGCGAATGATCCTTCAAAACAAACGGAGAATGTCAGGTGACAAGCAATAGGAAGAGAATGATCCTTCTAAAAGCAATGCGTTGGCGTGATAGTGATCCTAACTTAATTGTCCTGCAATTCCTGCAAACCTGTGCTGGGAAGCAAAGCACAATATGCCATCTCCACAGGATAACCCACTCGCTTTTATACACAAAACTCTAGCATTAGATCTGAGAGAGAGAAAATCCAAGGCACAAATCAGTGCACCCAGCTCTCATGCAAAGTAGTATGAGCCTCATTTTAGTGTTGGGATAAGCCTCCAGAAATGCCGTCTAGCTGATAGATTCATGTCCTCTGCACAGCAACTTTGCTGTTATTCTGCCATTACAATGGGAAGCGAACAACGTTTTTGCAGTGACAGGTCACTAACACCATCTTCTATTCAGAAATTCAACTTGTCTGGCTGCTCACCAAGGGGTACAGCTGCTGAATGGCTCTGCGTCCAGAACGGAGTTTGCTTTCTCCCATTAAGACTCTATCAGTTGTACACAGCTGTACAGGCATCCCAGTCAACTCAGCCATTGCTAAAGAGCCTCCTTTCCCACAGAAGGACATCTCTGCTCTCATGGCTCTCATCTAACCCCAGATGAGGGTTTTCTTATCTGCCTGACAGCAGCTTCTGCAGGTCACAGGCTTCATCCATCACTTCCCAAGCACTCAGACAGATAGAGTGTGGGAAGACTCCTCCTCAACTGCAACCCTGGCACAGACTCAGGGGCAGTCAGTTTGAGTTTGTGATACATGATTTGTCTAATTGCTGGTTGTGGATATGTGATTTGTCTGCTTGTTCCCAATAGGTTCTGAAATTGTTCTCTTCCCCAGCTTTTGAGTGATATGTCTAGTATTAATCTGCATTATCTAACACGTTCCCTTAGGAACACAACAGTTCTGCATGGGATAGCCATGTGAGGCTTTGGGAGGAGAGAATAAGTTTTCATACAACAGTTTTATGTATTCCCCTGGTAATATGAAAGAATGGGCTTTCCAGACAATGATGCTGCACCTGCGAAGCCAGTGGAGATCCTTTTGCTGTCTAACATGTATGCCCTCAAGGCTTTAGAGTGCAATAAGAGATCTACTGTAAATACTGCACAGCAGCAAATACCATAAGCAATCTCGGAGAGAAAATTTTCATATTTCAGGCACTTCCCCTTGGGACTGTGCTTTATTTCCAAAAAAAAAAAAAAAAAAAGAGAGAGAGAGAGAAACTGTGCTCTTACTAAAACCAACAGCAAGATCCTTAGTTTGGGGCTTAGGAAAATGGAAAAGGGGTCTGGAGTTCTCCCAGTTGGTACACATCCTGTAAACTTATTGCATAGAGAATTGTAATAAGAGCTAAGAAATGTAAACTAAAGAGGAAAGCATTCTCTGTTTTACCTTCCGTAAGAGTACATTATGCCTGGTGGGAAGTAGGTTGTGTAACAACCTCCCGAATATTGTTCCAAGTTCCAGTTCTTTTCTTCATAATGCACTGGCTGAAAGTATTAGCAGAAAAACAGAAAATAAAAAGCTAATAAAAGCTTCCCTTGGAACAGGGAAAATTAGAGTAAGGATACTTATTAAAGGACTATCATCTCATCTGGTTAATGCTATCTATCAAGGCAAAACAAATCTTTGCATGTTTATAGGAGCATTGCCTTTTCATGGGGAAATAACAGGACAAAATAAACCATTAAGCCTTTGCTTTTCTTGTACAGAGCGAGGCTGCTAGCTTTTCTTTTCCTGCAATTCCCTCCCCTTGGGAACAGAGATTGCAAGGTACAGCCTCCAATTTTAGGTACCTATTTTGGGCACTGGAAATTTTGTCTTCATACTACCAGAACAAAACACAACATTACTGTACAGCACAGGTGAAAACAGGCATTCATTTCTCACATGTAAAGCTTCTTCCATTCCTATTGCCTTGGCATATGCCTCACAGATTTTCTTCTTCCTGTGCGAAGATAAAAGTAAAACCAAGAACAAATAAGGTGAAAAAGAAATCTCATCTATTGCTCTTATCTTTAAAAAAAAAACACATGTATTGCAATATGCTGGAAAGTAAGTTGGATTTTGTTTGTTTTTTAATGATTTAAGGTTATTATCTTAATCTATGTTTTTAAAAGCTGATGACTAAATGTGACATCCCAAATTGACCTTGGAAATGTGAAATGAAGGTCAATGTTGACAATGGCTCCAAAAACAAATCTTGTATAGCTATCTTAGGATAAAGAGTCATTTCATTCTCTTGTTCATCGTTGGAAGATCAGAAGAGAACAGATATAAAACACTGAAAGCCCTACAGATTTCCTGTAACTGAAAACAGAATGGGAGCTGGAGAGTATTACACACATTCCTAAACAGAACTTGACGTGTAACAAAATTGCATTTAGAAATTACTGTTCATTCATTTCACAGATTAATGTTGAAACCATACTGTAGCGAGCATGGAAGTTTAAATTCTATCACACAGTCTGAATGCAAAGGACCCCAAGCCATGTATGTGAGTGCTCCCTCCATCTGTGAGGGATGTGAACTCTTACCTTTCTTCCTTACTGAGATGTGCCAGTTTAACAGCCTTTCTGGTAAGGATGAAACTGAAGAGAAAAACACAGCGCATAAACATCACATAGTCCCAAAGCCCCAGTTGACTTGCAAGCTCTTTCTTGGAATTACTCTGAGAAGAGGTGGGCACACCATGTGCTGGCATACCAGTACATGGCCAGCTTGACTTTTTTTTGTCATATTTCATAATTTAAATTTACATTTCACATGCATGAAAAGGACTATATGAATCACAGTTCATGGAGTTCACAACTGAACTACATGTCCCTTTGCAGCTATCGTCTTTCAACCGTTTTGTACCAAGACTTTGAGGCAATCACAGCCCCAGATACATCTCTCCTTCCACATTCCCACAGAGATTGATGGCCTCACCCCAGGCCATCCTACCGCTGCCCAAGTAGTCTCTGTACACACATGTCACCGCAGTTCAGGTGAGTAGAACAGATACTGCAGAACAAGGTCTGCACTGTAATAATGGCAAAGGGAGATGTTTGGGGCACCTTGCAGAGCTGACTTGAAGGAAGAGCATTTGTCTGCAAGGAGCATGCACTGAGGGCCACCTGGCAGTGAACACCTGTGAAAGACACAGCTCCCTCATGGGCTTTCAAGGCTGCCAGAACTCACCTCATTCTGCTGTCACTGGAACAAGCTCTACATCCTCATTGACTCAGGAGAGCAAAGGTGAACTTAAATTAGGTAGCCAATGAACTATCCTGTGCTGCCTCACTGTTTATATCTAGGCCTTTTCCAAAAGACCAAGGAGAGAGCGCAGGCTCCTGGAGTACCAAATTTTCTTGAAATCTCACAAGCAGCTGGCCATACCACTGTCCATAACATATTTTTTTCTGTGTTAATAAGCAATGGGGAGCCTGCAGATCTAACAGGCATTACACAGGGTCATAGATCAGTCTTCTAAGAAATGGGATTAATATTTATTTAGGTTGAAGGAAACAGATCTGGAAATTAGTTCATTTCACCTCAGTGGAGCTATCCATAAGATCAATGGGTATGAATTCCTTTGCCCTTTTAGGAAGCTGTATTTGCCCACAAGAAGAAAGCAAGAAATTTCACTGCCATTTATAGAGTTGGAGAAGGCTTGTTGATCTCAATTTATGGAATTTCTTAAGCTTCAAATACGAACAGAAACATGCAAAATACAGTAGAAGTGGCAGGCTGTCTTTGTCAGACACTTCAAGTGCAAATGCTTGACAATTGTATTGGCCTTTTTGGCAGATTCACCTTAGATTAAAGTTGAAATATTCATAAATATTGTTTGTTCATATTAATTTCACCTCATTTTTGAAGCTGAAGTGCTATTACATATATTTTGTAGAAGACCAGAAGTCTTCTACTTGGCAGTTTCTTAAGAATCCTTCTTTTTTTTTTTTTTTCTTCCCACTGACAAGCTGACATTCTTTGTTTCTCTTCAGGTCAATGGGGAAAACAAGGAAACAAGGACTTGAACAACTACGTTTTCATTTAGGCGTAGACCCAAAATAGAACGCCCAAGCTAGCCAGAACATAGGCTCACAAAACTAAGAAAGGGATTTATTTCTAAATCTATTCCCCAGCAAAAGAGTAGCTGAGTGCTTAAAATGAACTACAGCTCAATTTAATAATTCCCAATAATCTTTTTATACTGGCTACTTGTGGCAGAAACTTCACATTAATCCATAGGAACTAGAAAGACACAGGGGGCGTTTTACAAGCGCTCTCCTCAATGTATGAGGATGCTATGGGAGCAGCACCATCCACAAGATTTGACCATTTCCCCTCTTCTTCCTCCTCCATCTCTTATACACACAGAGACACACATCTGTAAGATGTGTACAGAATAGAAGCTCCTAACCCCATAATGGCGGGGAAAGACCCATCAGGTTTAGTGTCATCTAGGGTTATTCCAATTGGAGATTCTTCATCTTCAATGAAAAGGCCACCACAATAACCTATCGGGAGAAAACAAAGTGATTGTCAGACAGACTTGGTGATGATCATTGTCACCTATTATGAGCAGAGAAAAATATCAATAGGATATGAGAAAGCTAATTCCTTTGTCACTGGTTATATGCACTTTTATTAAAAAAAAAGTTCCTGTAACAGTGCCTCACCCTCACTCTTCCCTCAGACTCTACAATTTTTTTGCACACAGGCATTATATTGGCATTTAAATGTGACTTTTATGGCTTAGCAAGGAATTTATGTGACTTATTGCAATTCCATTTGGCTTTCTATTATTGGGTGCAAGAAACATTAAAAATAAATTAATCTAGCAAGAACTGTGACAACTTCTTTCCATGAGAAGCTTGGTCTAAACAACAAAAGCAACAGCAAAACCCAGTGTAATTACCTCTGGTCACTGCCGGCTCAGATTTAAACTCGGTATTGATTTTGAAGAGGATAAGACTAACAAAAATGGTGTTCAGTAACAATAATGCACCAGAAACACAGGCCGTCTAATTTAGCATCAGATGCCACTTACATGCTCCAGCTGAACATGTAAAAAAAAACCCTCTATGCATAACTATGTATTAGCCTTCTCATTTTTTATCTAATTCCAGTCAGAGACTGGTTTATGCCCTGCAATACTCAGATTCGTAGTCTTTCTAGTAAAAACAAACCTTTGTTACCCAAGGTAGCTATCAATATGACATAGGAAGGGGAAACTAACCTGTTCCAACAAATACCTCTGGAAATAGTAACTTATTTTTTGATCATTCCTTAACAGTTAGGGCCAATGTGATGTTGCAGTATATGGGAAAAAATATCTCCAGTTAAGCAAAAAGCTAACCTACTTTTTCCAGTCCTCTGAGATATCGAGTCTGTAGATCAGAGGATTAGAAACAGTGAAAGGTCTTTCTTATACTTTAGGCACTCCTTGCGTTCTGCTATAAATTCTCCTTGGCTGCCCTAACTCTATTCCTGGCAGGGAAAAGTGCCTTGCTCCTTCAGGGTCACTGTTCTGTGCGTTACAGGTAATTTAGTAGCCTTCTGCAATGCACACTTCCCCAGCTAGCATCTCTTAGATTCAGGATCCCACCTGAGTCTGGGCTCTGCTTTGCAAAAAGGGAGAATATTCAAGCTTAGAAAAAGAGCTCTTTTCTGAGGAGCTTTATCTTTAATTTTTTTCTGTGTGTTTAATTTTGCGTGTTTGCATATTTAAGCCTGCTTGGTCTTATTCTTTGATGGACAACAGAGCTTTAAAATCATTTTAGCAGCAAGTCCTCTCAAGTCCTTCAATCTCCCCACATACCCTTCCTCTCCCAGAAGGCTTCTCTGTAGTACATCATGCATTTTATGACAGACCCCATAGGCAGACGCTGAATTAACTGATTTCTCTTTGGTGGCAGTTCTGGTTTGTAATGAATCTTCGTTGTCAGGATAGGGGGGATAGCACTGATCACATACTTGCACTGAAATGTAAAACACAAACACACAAGGTGCTACCTCTCACTCAGGTTGCCCACCATGTCATATTTGAAACACTCTCTTGCTGGTTGTTGATAACTTTCCCACAGGTGGGGGTTTTCATACACAGATGCCAAAAGAAAACACCATTTTAGAAAAGGAAGACAAGACAAAAATATGTTGTTTTGTGATAATTCTTGCACACAGTAATTCACAACAGTAACAGAGGTGAAATTTGTCTGGAGATAGGTTGGGGAAATGAGAAAAGAAACATATCTTAACACAGAGACAAAAGTGCATTTTAATATCACCAGGAAGATATGACTCACTTCCGTCCAAATATTAAGCTGTTAAAAAAACAAAATTATGTTTGTGGGAAACAACTTCAATTGTGATGGCTAATACCTATGATGATTCTAGCTTTCTTAAGGGACCTATGGGATGCATAGAGAATGCGACTAGAATGACAAAGGATGCTGTGCTTCAGAGATCAAGGTGTCAATGTACCTCTAGACACATCAGTGCTTTCAGCTGTTGTCACGCTGGTGGGGTCAGGCACAGCAGCAGAGCAGGAAGCCTCTCTGCTAAGTTTGCTGCTGCTCAGCAATATGGAAGGGGAAACTTCCTGACAAAAATCCTTGGGATGGGCAGAGTCTAGTCCCATATGGCATCCTTAAATTGGGTTCTCTTTCAAACAACCCTTTCCCTTTCTGCCATCTTTCTCAAAATGTCTTCCAAAGGCTGCCGTCAGTGAACAGAGGTTCTTACAGACCCGACACGCTTGTCCTGCACAAACCTGACACTCCTCCGCGGCAGGCTCTGTCTCGCATACTGAAAGGAAGTGCCGTCCTGCACACAACGTGCGATCATGTACTGAAAGCTTATTTCACAATGGAGCTCCACGAAAGAGGCTGAACTTTTGCCTCTCCTAACTTGTGACAACTAGACCTTGCAATCTTACTAATACCATTTGAATGGTGTCTTTCTTTTCTGCAGACTGCAATCTTGCATAAGAACAGGAACAGTATTTTTCCGTATTTGAAGTGGCCTTGATGAGGAACTAAAATGTAAGATTACATAATCACAGAAACAGCTAAGACAGAAAGGACAGACTAATGACAGAAACCAATTAGGAAAACACTGAGATGCAAATCTATAAAGCAGACTTCACAGGCTGTCAGGATACTTTGAGAAATAGACACACACAAATGGGCACTCCTGATTACATCTGGCTAACAGCTTCAGCAGATGTATTCCCCCATTAAATGCATACTCTACTTTTATTTTGATCAAATTACCTCATATATCTCATGGTTTAGAGTCTCCACAATGACATTATCACCTGTCTGATCAATAACGACCACAGGACTCTCCAGTTTGACTCTGCCTTTGAGGCGTTCCTTTATCTTCTCCGATATCTGACCAGAACCCCCAATAAACTTCCTCTCCTACAAACAAATAGAAAAACAAACAAACAAAAGTCAGTGGCATTAATCGCAATTAACTTGAGCAGAATTCCTGCTCTTAAGCATTTCCAGGCTAAATCTGCAAGTTCTACAGATGCACTAAGTTGCCTAGAATTTCAAAAGAGACAAGTCACAAGTCCCAGCAAAGATTGTTATCCAAATTACTTTTGCAATGGCTTGTTTAATTTGCTGGTTTGAAGACTTACAGACTCAAGAAGACAGAACAACAACAAAAAAAAATCTCATGCAGATATTTTGGCTAGCATAAACAAATCACTTTATAAAACAGAAGTTTTGACTGTTTTCCCTATTTCTGTGCTCCCAAAATACGCATATGTGACAAAAATATCAGTTTGCTTCTGTACAGCTAGGCCTGCAAATGCCCAGAAGCAAGACAGATTTTTAACTGAATCTAGCCACAAATGCAGCAAGCAATAAGCTTTATCTGTCCCTAGAAAGTCACAAAGATATTGTTGTCTGGAAAAAGTACATTTGATGACATATATTTCTTTGTGATGTCTGGGCAGAAGTCTCATGGAAGCACTAATCCTTTTTCATCTATCAGCTACCAGCATTATACTAGGCAGCTCAGTTCCACATACAAGATTTTGGTATGGCAGGGAAGAAAACAGGCAGGAAACAACAAAACCTAGTGTTAAAGGACTAAAACAGCTGCCTGAAAATGTGGTACAAGTCTTGTCATCACTGGTAAGTCATGAATGCTTATCAGGTTCCTCAACTTTTTTTTTCTTTATTTTTTTCTTTTAATCAGGGTGATAAGAGAAGGAAGGAGAGTAGAAACAATGATGGCTTGTCAGATCCAGGCACAATGCAAAGGAACTCTTCCACCCTTGTCAGTCTAGCCTTCTGCTTTCTTCCTGTTCAGTTATCAACATTTTGGGATTCATTTTCTTTCCAGTCCCAGCTGTAAGGTCCAGCACCTGCTGGCACTGGGTGGAAAGTGGGGCTGGGAGGCCCCTGAAGAAGGTGGCTCTCGGGTCTCACTCTCATCCCCGTGCAGCATTACCTGTACTTCTGTCCTTCCTACCACTTGCTTGTCCATCCTCACCCTAAAGGATTCTGTGGGCAGCCAGGTGCCTGCCATGGCCAAGCTCATTAAACGTCCTACCTTGTGAGCTGTCTCAAGAAGCAAGGGCCTTTTGCTGCCTGCTTCCAACTGCCATCACTAAAGGTCACCACAAAAGGAGGCAATACCACAAAGGCAAATACTCGAAAATCAAACATTTTTCTGGTGGGCTCTGAAATCAGATGATGCCAGGCATCATAGCAAACCTAAAAACACTGCTTTTTCATGCTCTGGAGCTTGCTGTTCTGTTTAAAGAAAACGTTAAGTTTTAAGTTTTTAAGTGCTGCTTATTACATTATTATTTCAGTTTGAATTATGCTTGCTTTGTACTTCTAAACACAGTCAGACATGGTAAGTAACCCATAGAAAACAAAATGGAATACACTGGAAAAACAAAAAGCAACAAAACAGAGGCAGAATAACTGTGCTAAAGGAAATGTAGAAAAAAAAAAAGTAGAAAAAAAGGAATTAATTAAAACGTCCCAACTTACTCCAAAGCTTAGCTAATAAAATCCCTCATTGTGCAGTGTTCGCCAAGAGGGCTGTTCATCCCCATGGAACATAGATGTGTCTGGTGTCACAAAAAACTTAGTGCTTTGTTTTCCTTTCCTTAGTTGCAGGTACAACAACACTCCACTTGCTACTTACAGTTTCAAGAGAGGAAGAATATTTGACTTTTTTGTACCTGGCCCCCATTGGACACAGAGAATATCCTGGATGTGCCTCCACATTGTCTCACATACCACAAGAACCAGAGAGCAGAGACTTCATGAGGCTCAGATGTGACATTGACATTCACAAATAAGGTGGCATATTCTTTAGCAGCTCTGCATGAAGCACAGGGACAGAAGTGGTTAGCGAGTAAATGTAACTTTCTGATTGCTTTCATTAATTTTTCTTTATTATTTTTGAAAAGGGATGCTATTCCATAGTTAGGAAAGTAGAAATGATTTTCAGCTGTCTTATCTTTTTGGTCTGAAGCTGGATCATTTCAGTGAGTTTGTATCAGCAGCCTCTCTCTTTGCTAAAGCATTTACCCCATTCCACTGATTTTACCTCAGTTATTTCCCTAAATAGTTTTCCAGCTGCTATTATTTTCATCAAAACAAATATTTTTCTCAACAGGAGAATACATTTGGTAACCAGCTAAGGAAACTCTCTGCTTTTCTCTTCCATGGCAAGCTCACCAGAAACATGATTTCCAAGTGTTGACTGGTCCCAAGGGACTCAGCTAGAGACGTTTCCAAAGACATTCCTAGTCTCCCATCTAACACTGCTGCACAACACTGTTGTAAAGCCAAAAATCAGATGTGGTCAGCAACCAATGGAAACCAAATTGGCAGTCATTGCCTTAATCATTTACACTATAGATTACTAAAAAAAAAAAAAAAAGATCATTTAGCTAAGATAGTCAAAGGTCTTTGAGATAAAGTTTAATAAAACAAAATGAATTTATAATAATCTGCTAAAGGAAGCAACTTTGCAAGTTATCTGAGCTGAAATATGTAACCTATAAACTTTTATAACCTTCTTTCCTTGGGCATGAAGTACAAGGGCCCACTAGCAAGAATACAAAGATATTTTGCATGCAAGAACCCTGTCTAACAAGCCTGAAAGCATGGAGACATTAAATAATGGTAGCAAGGCCTCCGGAATGTAATGAGACTGTCCAGGATCAGCAGGCTTTCATTCATGACACGTGACAAATGCACTTTTATAATCTTGATCCTGGTTATACTGAAAACAGAGGGTTTTTCTATTAACAGAAGTTAACTGGAACTGAATGGCAACTCAAAAGTTCAAATTTCTTCTTAGAGAATTACAGCTTTTAACTATGTTTAGGAAAGCTTGGTTTAGCTTGCAGATATCAAACGCCTTTCTGAAAAGGTTTTGAATGTGTCTCAGTACAACATGTCCATCAAACCTGGAGTGCCACAAAACAACGAGCAGTAGAAGCAGTCTTGCAGAGCAGCATGTTACAACACAGATCACTATAAATGCAGTTCTGCTTGTAATTCACTGTCTTACTCACTAAGGGCAACAGTAAAAACTAGAAGAGGAAGAGTCAGCACACTTGCAACAGAAAGGGTAGTTCAAAGTGACTGTGTTTGTAGAGAAATGGCTCTTAAAATTCATTGCAAAGAAAACTGCAGCGCAACAGTGCGCAGGAGAAAACCCAGATGGATGTACCTTGTATCACACAGGTCTGGAGCAGGATTCAAACCAGTGTAATTTCAGATGGAAATTTTGGTCAGGAAGTTTCAGGTGCAGCGCTAAACCACAGACAGAATGAAAGGCAAACAAAACACAGCCGAACAAATAAAAGATGCTGTATGTAAGGAAGGGTGGTATTTAGAATAGCACAGGGGACCGGCACAGAAAGAGGGAATAAAAGTGTTAGTATGAGCACACTTCTGTTTGCCTTATAATGAAAATATATTGGAAAAGGAAAAAAAAAATTCCAGTTGTTGGCACTCAATATTCCACACTGTAGGTATTAAAAAAAATAAATAAAAAACACTCCCTCCTCAAAAAACATCCCCCCAAAAAACAGTGTGGTCCTTTATGGAAAGAAAAAAAAAACCACGCAGGCTGAATCTGTTGCTCACAAAAAAGGATGAACTATTAGATGATGTAAAGGCCAAGAGTAACTTTGGTTGCAGCAACCATGACTGTGATTTAACATCATGAGAGGAACAAGCAAGACGAACAGCAGAAAAATGTCTCTGGACTTCCAAAGAGCAGCCTTTACCTTTCTCAGGAACCTGCTTGGCAGACTCCCATAAGAAACTACCCTGGAGGACAAAGGGGCTCAGGAGAGCAGGCTCCTCTTTGAGGACAGCCTCCTCAGAGCACAAGAACAGCCCACTGGAAAGTGAAGACAGCCGAGCAAGCACGGCAGCAGACCAGCATGGGTGAATGTGGGCCCCTGACTGAATTCAAGCACAAGAACATACACAGAAAGCAGAAGCAGGGCCAGACACCGCTCATGTATGTGGGAGTGCAGTCGGGAAAGCCAACGGACTGGCAGCTGAAACTATCCAGGGAGGCAAAAGGCAACAACAGAGGTTGCCTCCGCAGCCTTCACTGCCTTGTTTCACCTGAACCATTTCAGAAACCCAGCAGCCATTACTGCTGAAATTAGAGGCAGCACTGGAACATTTATGGAGTTTTCAGAGCCAAAGGCTGCTCACTTGGGTCCCGTGCTGCCCCTACTAATTGAATGACCACAGGAAAATACCTGCGCTTTGACACAGTGTACTGCTCTCTGATCTGTTGGCTTCATTTTCCTGATCCATGATAAACACAACATAGGTTGATGAGTAAAAGCAGTCACATATTAAAATCACATATATATTGCATAGCCAAGAGTCAAGGCACATCATTCCTCAACTCTCCCCCTCAGTTCTTTCTGCCTTCATTTCTGTGTCTGCGAGTGATCTTTATTCATATACATAGTTTTAGAAAGGCACCAAGAAAGGCACGTTCTCACACTGAGTTAACTGAAATTCAGTGAGATGAGTAGCAGCTGTCACTCTCACAGGGATCTGCATGCTCATACAAACTAAACTTGAGGCTTCCCCAGCATCTTTAATCACACCTGCTAACTGCACACTAGGCAGTGTGCACTAGCTTCTTATCCTCCACAGGTCTCCACCCAGTTCTTAATAATGGTCCATTACAACAACCAGTCTCATCTCAAATATCTTCTACTCCCTCACTGTCTGAATACATATGCTGTCTCCCACTTTAAATTATGGGCTTTTTGTGAAAGAGACAATATATTTCTCTTGTATTTATATAGCATCTAACACTGTGGGGTTCTGGTCTGTGAGGGAAGACACAAAGGCACTAAGATTGGAAAAAAGGCACTAAGATTAGAAAAACAATAGATGATAATAAAGCTCAGCCAACGCAAGTCACAAACAACTACTCTTTTATCCTTTGTGGATAACACTGCCTCAAATACTTAAAAATGTTTGAAAAGACTTGGCTGACATAGCTGCTCTGTATTTAAAATTGTTTTATACTACCACTCTGCTCATTTATATCTCATCTCTTCCAACAGCTCCCTGCAGACTTTATGCTGAAATGATCATGCCACTGAAGACCACAGTAATTTTTCCACTCCTTCCAAGATTTCAGGTCACACTGTGAGAGCCCTCAGTCATTCTGTGATGAGTTTCAACAAACATCTAGTAATTTTTATTCATCTTTGAATCTTCCATATTTTTTTGGTTTCCTTTTTCCACCACTTTCAAAAGCTATTGTTTTACTTTGTCCATAGCACTGAATAAAAAGGAATAATTGCTTACCTTGCACTCCATGGGATACCAGGTGTTGGGGTAGTGTAATATGGCACTTATGACACCACAAAACTGTTAATATATTCTGTGTATCATAGAATGCTTAAGGTTGGAAGGGACCTCTAGAGGTCATCTAGTCCAACCTCCCTGCACACGCAGTGGCACAGGACACTGTCCAAGTGGGTTTTGAAGATCTCCAGAGAAGGAGACTCCACACATTGCCTCTGTTTCTCTTCCTACATTACACACAGCCTTGCCTTAATTAATTAATACTTTGTGAAGTATTGTGAAGAATGAATTACATTTCATCAACTTTAAGTATTTCTAACTTTTCAGGCTTGTTCTGCTTTTTGGAGTCTCTAGGTATTTGGTGGCCCTCCTGCCAACTGATGCTTAGCCCATGAGAGAGTTGATCACAGATTTGACCACACCCCATCTGAAGTCAGTGGGAATGTGAACAGACTCTCAGTAAGTTTTATGTAGCTGTGTCCTAGAATTTGCTAGGAGACCTATATCATTCTAAGGCCAGATTTCAAAGTGAATAAAGAGTTTAGTACTTGGTCCAGCATGTCTTATTTATTAGCTGTGCCATGGTGATTTTGTCCCATTCTTCAGCATGTGGAGCATCCCATGGTGCTTCAGGAGGAATCTACAGAGACAAAATATTAAAGAAATTACTTAGTACTTTATCATCAACTACCTGGTCATAGATAATTTGCAGTACACTAGGGACTGATATGTTGGCCCCGATTTGCTATTGTCCTTGGCGTATAGTTGTAAACCTGGACTAAGTCCACTGAATGAAATAGTAGCTATTCACAACTCTGGGCCATGTGGTCTGATTTATCTGACCAATGAATTACACTGGTAACTGGAATTTATGTTAGGACTCACTTCCATTGGCTCTCAGCCATCTAGAAGTGAGGTGTCTATTCAAATCTAGTGTCTTGGTTTCTTTTACAAGCTGGGGAAAAAAAATTCTCTCTCCAGTCATAGATTCATGGAGCAAAAATTGCTGGATAATATTCAGAGATTTTTGGACATTTTAAGACTTAATAGTAATCCATTGCATGCAGATACCATGACGCATGAAGACAGCAAAGCATACTTGACCTCTTTCAAAATACATATTATTTGAGAAAAAATAGGCATAGTATGCACAAATCTGATTCTGCAAAAGCACATACACCTGACCAACTTACTTTACTGAAATACAGTTACTTATGCTTGTAGGTTATGGTGAGGTAGGACCCTCATTTGCAAGCAACATTATAGGCCACGTGATAGACATTTCAAGAATAACATAACTCTCTGGGGCTTTTTGTATACAGGAAGCTTTCCTTGAATTCTCAAAGCATTTACTATTTGAGAACTTTAGAAATAATATTACTCTGAAGCCAAACTGGAGCTCAGCTCAAGTAATTATAAAAAAGAATTATCATTGCCCTAATTCATAGGGGGCAATAGAGGGACTGAGAAAAAAAAATCTTCTCATGCCCCAGCTTCTGGAATGTTTCTGCCAGGCATGAGGCACTGTACAGGCACGAGACACTGTACAGGCACTTAAGTTCAACATTAGTTTTTTAGATCTTTTATATCCAGATCTTTTTTTACTCTCACTAATAGTTTTTGAGTAACATAGACCTCTTTTCTGATGGGTGTTTCTACACCTTTATACTAAAGAAACAACAACAAAAAATCCTGCCAGATCCCTCTCCAGAGTTTACTCATGATGTCACCAGTACTGTGAGAAACAGGTGCAGTTTATATACACAGCTTACCTCTTTCCCCATTTTATCCATGGTTCTCCAGAAGTTATTGTAATCTAGATAAACTAAAGGATTCCATGTTGGAGGAGAAATACCCATGAATTTGCGTGACTTTCCCTAAAATACACATAAGAATATAAATAAATGAAACGCAACAGAGTATATCTACATGATTCCAGAATATACAGTTTCCAGATTCATCACACAGTCACTATCTGTACCAAAAGATCTAAAATTCATTTTAAGCAATTTTTTAATATACATATAAATAAGCAAGAGAATATATGAAGCTAAGTATGAGGGGAAAAAAGACAGTGGGCTGATATTAAAAAGGACAATAATTCTTTTTTCCTTGTCCTGGCGGTGGACGTCGGTACAACCAAGCAGGCTATACAAACCTTTACAATCCAATAGCACCTCAGCTATAAAAAGTAAACATCTTTACAATGTCTTGAAAATAAAATAAAATAAAAATCTCAAAATAAAAAAGTCTTTTTTTTCCAAAAGGACTTTTTTTCTTGGCTGCAGAAAAAAAAAATTCTGTACACTCGCAAAAATCTAATCAGAACTTACAACATATATTGCAGAGCTGCAACAGAAATAAGGACTGTTTCAGATAATCCTGTGATAGAATGATATGTGAAGCAATCTAACAACAGCTGGTTCTTTGCGATAATTTTAATCTGAAAGAGTGATAACTAATCTGAAAGAAGAGTGGACAAACAGACAATATTTTCTCTTACTAAATTGCTTTGAACTTTCCTCCATGTAAATCAATGGCAAATCTCTCATCACAACTCTTCAGTGTTTGCTGTTCTGGGTGTGACCAAAGTATTATATGTGAGGTCATGTGGCAGGATGCAGTGAACGTGTTGAATCGTGGCAGGTATAAACTGCGGAGCCAGGCTGCATGCAATACACTGTGCAGCACTACATATATCATACCACCCATCGCATTTGGCAAAAAAGAGTCATAGCCCAGGAAAGAGACTGTAGTATTGCAAGTGCATGAGATATGGATTTAGGGATAGGCGTATATGACGCAGGTGCCAACAGTGCCATTCCCACACTGAATTTATCAATATTCCCCTCTGATTAGCATGCATGCACGTGCAAATAAATATTTCAGATATTCTGTTGAATATGTTTCTGCAGAGATCAGAAGAAAAAAAATAAAAGGTCTAAGATAAACTTGAAGAGTATATTGAACTTTCAGATTTGACAAAAGCAATAAAACATGCAAGTCCCAAATTCTGGGCAACTTTTGCCATCCCTATAGCAGGTACAATGGAGGAAAGAAAAGGCACTTGGAAGAGCATACTAGTAGAGAATTCTCCATATGGCAAACATCATGCAGTTCCTCTCCTGGATGCGGTCATCCCTAATTCCAGAGGACAGTTGGAGGCCCAGGTCTATGCTGGCTTCTCCCTCTCACCATTTTCATAAGGGTAGCAGCAAACTACTCTTGCATTTAGTCTAGTCTACAATCTGTGCTACGGAATCAAACAAAACATAAGATCTTGCTCTGAGTAGTCAATTCAGCTTGAGAACCAAGGGATTGGAAGGGTTTTGTTTTTGCTTTTGGAATCTTCTTTTCAAGAAATCACTGGTCACTAGGTTGATTCTGGAATTGGTTGATTACCTCTGGATTTTTGGATATGTAATCTTAATCTTTTGTACTTTATCTCTTTATTTCAATTTATCTCTTCCCATTTTCTTTTTGTTTTAGAAATTATCTTGGAGGAGACTATGTATGTTTGGGGTGAAGGGGGAAGGGTTGCTCCACCCTTCTCCAGGTGCATTTTCATGTGCAAAACACACTTCTGTGTGGCAACAGAATGGGAAAATCCCTATTGGAAGCACTAAAATATTGCTAATAGTTTTCTTCTTATTGTATAACTGTTTTGCAAAATGATCATCCCATACAGCTACTACCAAACTTTTTACTTCTGTCACAAATGCAGGTGTTTTCAATGTGCCTATTTTGATGTGCTTTAAAATTAATAACCCTGCCTTTATGCAGAGATGAGGTGCAATATTGTTGGGCCACCTAAAACAGGAAAAAGTAAGCTATTACTGAAGTTTTGTGATGCCTATATTGCAAGGACAAAGATAAAAGACAAATCATCAGTTCAAGAGCAGCACTGAAAACTTCCTGAAGATTTTTACTGTTCATTCCAGACCTTTTTTTCACATAGCTAGCTAATATAGTAACAGCACTTGCATTGCAAGTGTGTAACTTGTACACAGCTCTCACACCCTTGGCTGACTTTACTCAAGAAAAATGATTGCTTGTTCAAAAAAATAAAGAGTAACTTCTTTTAAGGTGATTTTAAAAAGCTGTTCTCATTTCCTATCCACCTTGGTTTCAGACAAACCTACTCCTTTTATTGAATAGCCTGAAAAAAGTGCCTCTCAGTAACTCCACTACAGGGTATGTGCCTTCCCGACTCCCAGTCTTGACTCTAATGTGTTAAGCAGTAATAGGTTCAGGATCCAAATAATTCAGGTTGCTGCAGACCGAGTGATGGGGTGAGGCAGGGAGAACCTGCCCACTATCTGGCTAGTTAACATTTTACTGCAAGTTTTCCATCACTATACTAGCTTTCAAGTTTTACAAACCATGACCATAGACTCTTCTGAGGACGGATGAATAAATTTTATGGTATCAGCAGTCAGTATGATATGTGTCACTTTGGAGATTAATTCATCTGCTATTTTAAAATGAATATATATACTTCTATTATTGATCTGAAAATACTATTATCCCCATATCCTCAGTTAATGGTACAGCCTAGGAGACCAATGGGAACACATATTTCATTCTTTCAGATCTGTGAAAAAACAAGAGATAGTAGAGTTCATAGTTGGATTACTTGCTGGTCTCTAGGGTTAAAAACAAACAAATAAACAAATAAAACTTTAGTAAGATTGGACATAATGGCAGAAAAAGCTGGAATAAAACACAACAAAGCCACAAAGCTCTGAAAAGATCGAGGGAGACCGAGGCTGATCTTAGAGAGTCTGAAATGGTTCACATATGTTCTAGCCGCTCTTTGCACAAGGGGTTCCAGGTGATCAGAGGAAAGCTCAATTCTTAGAAATTCCAAAAGAAGTTCCTAGTATCCATCAGAAAGAGAAAGATTTAAGTTGTCTCGGCCACATCGATTTTTTCACCATTCTACACAAACATATCCACGGCAGGGGATAAATCCAGGCCAAATGACTTGGGGATAGTTATGTTATTCATTTCGTTTTAATACTGCCTTCCCATTAAGTAGAGGAGCTCAGACTGCCTGTTTCACATAGAAGCTCCCTGCAGCAGGCGAGATCTTGCAATAGCCCATTTTTAAACAAGTTTATAGTGTTCTGGCTGGACTATTTTGAGAACTGCTGTTTTCTTAACTGAAAGGCAAATAATCTACTGGCTTTGTTCCCATGCTAACATAAGGCTGCTGGACTGACCCACAGAGTTTATCTAACTTTTTCATTTCCTAGTGTGTTGGACGCTATTCTGTAGACCTCCGATTTGAATCCTGCTGCCTGCCAGGATTAATTGCTCCACACTGATCCAAAGGAAACAACAACCTTAAGCACTGTAGCTCAGAGGTGAGGAAGAATGCCTCTAAGGTCTGGCCTTTGCAAGGTCCACCTTCTCCCCACACAGGGCTACGCTCTGGAGTGTAGATGCAGCTACAGGAATCGAGTCTCATCTACCTCAACTAAGGTAGATGTGGCACCACCCTGAGTTTCAAGGTGGGCAAGAGGAATAGATATCCCAAATCTGATAGAGGCAAAAATGGCTCCTGTCCATCAGGAAGCAGAGGAGGAGCTGTCATTGACCGCGAGTGCAGGGACGGCTTCTGCCCTTGATCCTTGCACAGCACACACAGCCAGCACAGCAGCTCCTCAGCGTGTGAGCCCTCCTGTGCCCTTCCCTTCCCCTCACTGATTACCTCCAGTGAGTAACCTTGCAAGCCCTGTAGTGCTTTTGTCTTTCGGCAATTCTTGTGCCTGAACTACAGATTCACAGCAATTTGCACAGACTTAATCACAGATTTACCTGCTGCACGTTAATCTCTTAATCTCAAAACTAGTTGAAGGAAAGACTCTTCTGTCAATATGGAAGTAAAAGCAGAGCGCAGTGTGACCTTCAAGGAACTCCATAAAACTAAAAGGCTATCCTAACCTTCTGGAAAGGGGAACTCCAGCACCGCTGACTCTTCTCACTCCTAAAACATGCTTTCTGAACAACAGGACAGCAGACATAACACAAGCTGTCTGCAAAGAAAGTGTAGCAGCTTGTAACAGAAGCTACAGGTTGAAGCTTCATATTTGGAATGACAAGATATGGAGAAATTTCTGAATAAATATAAAACGATGAACACTAGCATACATACAAAGTTTTCCAAATAAACTGTGACTACAAAGGAAATCTGCCTACACAAAGCAACACAATTTTTGAAGCATACAGTATGTAATAAATTCCACACACACATGGGAAAAAATCCTTTCTGAGCAGCAGTTCATTGAAAACACTCAGGGGATTTGCACTTTCCCTTGGCTGCTTCCCCTTCTTTAATAAATGATTTCCTCACTTCCATCTAATTTGGTCCTAGCTGTATCCTGGAAGCCTTCAGAAAGAAGAGCAAAACTAAATTTATATTAATATGATAAACAAGAGATCAATGTATGGTTACGTATGGTTATGTATGGTTAAATAACTGTCACGCAAAATTGAAAGCTGTCTTTCACTGCTCCTCAGAAAATGCTGGCTCTTGTCTCTGAGAAAAACGCTGCTGGATTGCAAGCTGCAGGATACACCCTTGGGAACAGAGCCTCCTCTCCCACCCTGGCTACATGATCTTCGACAGTCATTAACCGAGGGAAATAGCAGATGAGATGCAAGAAGAGAAGTTTTTGGCAATACTTTTCAAACCTGAAAGACAGCACCTGGCCCACAGCTGACAGTTTGTTAGTCCAACACATCAGTCTCCCAGATGAATATTTAAGCTCTGGATCCTTTTTCTGTTATCTAGGAAATACTACCGCTATTTGGGCTCCAGAAGTATCTTTAATGAATATAAAAGATGTCTCTCCTCTCTCTACAGACAACACAAATCCCTGCTGGACAGCTCATCACTGAAGCATGCGAACAGTAAGTAGGAGGTAAAATGTAGAAGTCACAAGATCACTGAGCTCCCACCATCACCTTAGCCCAAAACAGTTTGTTTTCAACAGGTCTTATGCAGAAATGGGACATAAGAAAATTCAGCAGCAAGAGGTCCTTAAAACACTGTGACTACACAAGCTCTCAAGGAAGAAGACAGGAAAAAAATGGTGAAAAACCTCAGAGGGGAAGAAAGAGAGCCACTGGAGGAAGAGTACTATTATAATTTATTTAGTGTTTAAGCCTGCCCACACTTGGAAACCTTAATGTTCCATTTGCTGTCAGCCTGTTTCAATAACTAAGCCTCTCTTCGAGGCCGTGATTAGCATGTAATTCTGCCTCTTGCTTAGGAACATACTTCCACTTCGAAGAACACCAAAAAAAAATGATATGGTTGTAAGGAAGGACATGAATAATGTAATATGTGACCAAAAAACCCCACAAAACCTGCATATTTAGTGTCAAAATGGATTAAGGAATCAAATTCATGTAACCCATTAAAGTCTTTTATTTAAAATACAAATGATAAGTGCCTTTTAAGAAGGTAAGAGATTTATGTCTGAGGTTAAATTAAATTAAGTCTGTTAAACTAAGCAGACTGGGCCAAACATTCAGGGGGTACAAATCAGACCAGTTCCCTTGCTGTAGGACTACACTTATTTTACTCCAGGCGGTGCAATTTATTTTTAAGTACTGTGTCTATGAAATTATTTAAAATATGCCTATTTTGTGAACACAGCATGAAACCAGCCAATATGGAGAAGTTAGAGTACCAGGTTCTAAAGCCTCCCAGCATGAATGCATTGCTCTAATTCTAGGAGGAATCTAAAGTAAGTAATAAAAATAACACCAGTTAAGTAACCACAATATAGCCTTTCCTGCTGCCTATCAAGCACATCAACACTGACCCTTGCAGATTTTGAGCCCTGTTCAGACGAAGAATGCTAAGTACCAAAACTAAAGGGTATAAAGGGTATAGTCTTCTGAAAGCACAAAAGTTACTTTTTAAAACAGAAATTCTTTAAGCAGATTAAAAAAAAAAAAAAAAAGATGTTTAGAGGAAGACCTGAAGATAAAGGTGGTGGGCTAAAGAACTAATACATGGGTCAGAAAATTGCTCTGCAGATAGGCTTCATTTCAGTTCACTTTCATACTAGTTACTTACTCAAAAATAGCTATCTAAAACTCCCTCTGTCCCACATCTCACACATACAGCTTAGAATCCTTGTTTCTCATCATTAACTATAGAGAGAATCTAAATGAGTGTCAGATTAGATGTCCAGCTTCCACACATCCAGTTTTAAGTGAGATGAATTCTGTTCTAAGGGATTGGGAGGGATTTTAATAGGCTTGAAAGAAAGCAAGTTATATCACTGGGAAAAGTACATTATACTTTTGCCCTGTAAGATTATGTTGTCTAACAAAGTATTATCTAGTGGTATCATATCCTTGGATGTAAATGATATTTTAAATGGCATGTCTTGCACTAAGCAAGGGTTTGTATTTCAGAACTAGAATTGCCCTAAGTTTCAGGAAAAAACTCCATTATACCTGACCAACTTCCATTTTTTTCTGTGGGGTAGCCTGGGTGGGGAAAAGGAGGGGCAGCATGAAGGAATTAAGAGTCTTTTAGATTACTGTTTGCTCAGTGATAAGACTGGCTTCCTGAGCGCAAATTGGCACTTGCACAAAAGCAGGAAGCTTAGACAATTGATCATCCATCACACTGGAAGGTAAGGGCTTTTCGTGAAGGTGGCCAAGAAAGGGAAAATATGAAGTCGTAAGTGCTACTATTTTACTGAGATATGGACAGTGCTACAATGCAAAGTACTGCCAAAGAGGTAAATCTTTGAGGTTGCTTTCTTCTAGCTACTTGGATTGGAAAGGCATCATGTTCTGTTTTTCCTTCTTAGCTAATAACAAAGTCATAACAAAGATGCAACAGAGGAATGCAAAACAAACACAAGAACACATCTGTGCAATTAAACACAAATGATTCCCATGCTTCTGAGCAGCATTTTGAAGGATAGGAAAGCAGGATCTGAAGGAACCCTAAGAACTCAGTACAGGATATGATTAAAAAAAAATCAGGTGCCAAATGTGGCCCCAGTTTTTAACTGCCATCAGGTTGACTTGTGTACTCTTTATGAAAGAAAACAAGAATTACTGGTCCAACTGCTGATAAGTCAGAACATAAAAATAATACTTCAAACAGTTGCATACTATTTAGATGATTACTAAAAGTGAAGTTTAAATAGAACCCTTCTAATGACTAGCAGTAATTTCCAAAGTTCAGTGTTACTTTTAGGTACCTGACATGAACATGAAAAATGTAGTACCTACCCTCCTATAATGGATGGCATAGCCTGCTACATTTACTTTATATGTCTCGACACCCAGCTCTTTTGCCAGTCGAAGAATCCGGTTTTGGGTAGGTCCTACGTATGATCCACCAAGATCTACATAATTAACTTTCTCGTTCTGTCAAAAGAAAGAAAACAAGAATCAGAAGCTTTGTGAGAAACCTTTCAATATAAATATCTAGAATTAAAATGAATTATTCCATACTGTGTATCACTGCAACTACATGCACAGGAGACAAGGCACACTGGCTTACTTAAGAGTAAGCAATTTTGATCCCTGTAATGACAGAGACACTGAGACCATATTGTCTTCACTCCATCATACAGTTTAACTCTTGTTTAAGCTTCACTACAAAAAATTAGCTTTTTATTCACACACAGAACATGAAGAAATATCCAGCTAAATCCATCCTTTTGTTAAAAGTTTGACCCCACTTTTTCAGAATTCATGTCACCACCGCGTGGACCAGCAGCGCACACTCTTGGGAACACAGCAAAAAAATTCACAGGCACACACTCTTATGAGCAGACTGACGTCCCAGGACTGTAATTCTTTTTAACATTGTTTATAGCGAGCATTTTAGGCTAGGCATTTTCAGTGTCACAGAGAGAGGTTGTTTATGTTTCATGTTTCACGTACAATGGGTTCTGCTAAAACTCCACTGTTTATCTCCAGTTCCTAAGCAATGGCCTCTGACAAAAATTTAACTCTCCCCTATGTTCAGAGTGGGAAACAGAGATAATGCACATACTGCATTACCCTGCAGCTCTGGTGTTTCATTGGGATTTTGCTTTTCCTTTAAACGGTGAACAAATTGCAGTCCGTTTTTAGAGGCAGGAATGTTATTTCAGATAATTTTAAGCTGTGCTAAAATACATGTCTGAGCTATAAAGATGTTTGATCATACCCAGGCTTTTCCTGTAAGGTTTCTAGCTATCATGTCTGTTACAGTATACAGTGTGGGATGGGAATGAGGGGCTATATGCTTTCAGATTCAGGGACTCAGATTCCCTCTGTTAATATTATAGGACCAGCAGATCCTGCTGAGTACAAAGAGTATGGATTAAGTGGGCAGTTCTGTTGCCTTAGTGCAGGTGTATAACAACATTTTGGACAACCTAAGTTATCCAAGACTTCTATGCAGGGTTGGCAAATCCGACACAGCACTCACAGAAGACCTGCAGTTTCCTGGAAAGGTAGCTGGAGGCCAGGCAGTCTATCCTGGCACCTGGATCCTGTCTGACATCTCTCAGGATGACTTCCAGACCAGTTTTACAGTGTCTCTTGCTGGAAGGCACACTGGCATATAATTAAATGGAGCCCGTCCAAACAGAGCACTATTATTTCATAGAAATGACGAGAACTTGAGACATCTGTGTTCTTCAGGAACTCTACTCCCCCTCTGCCCACTCTCTGACCATGCCAACCACAACATAGCAGACCAGTATGATAGAGGTTTAGGCATCTCATGAAGCACTTACCCTAATAGTGAATGTCCTTCCTCCAACTCTGTCCCGGGCCTCAAGGACCACCACGTTAAGTCCAGATTCAGACAGCAATTTGGCTGCTGACAAGCCTGCCAGAAAACAGAAAGACAGTCCTTTAAAGTAAGGGCCATATTCAATCACCTACATGGTCAAAGAATCTTTGAGAAAAACAACTAGGTTTGAACAAAAAGTCTATGGACAGAGGATTCAATACTGCTTTCAAAAATCCTGAGAGAAGTCTGGAAGTTTCTTACCACAGAAATCATGTGGCTGCTGCTTAGCTGCATTTTATAAACATTGGCATAATTAACATTCCACAGATGGAAGCTTCCTCCTCTAGGTTAGCATTTCAACTATGAAGGGACATGCATCTTACTCTTAATGTGTGCAGTTCATAGAAAGGCAGAACCAAACCCTCTGGGACCAGCAGTGCTCAAGCGCTAGAAACAATAATATACTGAACAGGAATATTTCAGCAAGGTCTGCTTCCAACTGCTTCTCTCATTTATGAGCTCTCCACTATTCCTATTTATTGTCCTCATTCACATGCAGAAGGAAAGTCTGCTTTACTGTCAAGACTAATTTTAAGCAATGCAGCCTGACAATGACATTCAAACAGACTGCATGTAGAAACTTTATAAAAGGAATTACCATCTCAGTAAAAATTATCTAATTACGGGACTGTGTGATAGAGGTACTAGCGACAACTAAAAATTCAATAAGACAGCAGTCTTCTTTACTTTTGATAAATGTGAACTGAAATTATAAAAAGCAATCATGAGTTTGTGAAATCAGATTATCCCATTGTCCTGCAGGGAAATTTGGCTCTGAAGCATTGTTTATTTGGAATTGTTTCCGCTCCCTAAGTATACAAAGAGGGTAATTCTTTTATAAGAAAGTTCACTATAGAGACATTTCCTCTGAAAAAATACATGACTTGTTCATGTGCTACCTTATCTGCATAAATATCTTTGTACAACCAAGCATGAGCAGATAATTCTTTTATGAGAAAGCTTATTATAGACGTATTTCTTCTGAAAAAAAAATGCATAGTGTGTTCATGTGCTAGCCAATGGAACATGAAGCAAAGAAAAATCTGGCCTAGATACTAAAAGAGGATTTTATGCAAGTCCTTTAACTCCACCAATACCTGTATTGCATATTTGCTCCTAGAAAGATCTGACACCCTTATCTGTCACTTCATGCTGCATGTAATGACTGTTTAGAAAGAATAGCTGTCACACTGCATTGGGTTGGAAGTTAATGCTGGTTTACAGCTTGATTTTATGAGGCATTCAAATAAACAAGGACAACGAAAGGATGGAGAACATGAGTTCTCTAACCTGGCTGAATGTTGAATGTCTAGTACAACCTGCCGCTGCACTACTTTGCCCTCCAGCCTTAGGGATTTTAAGTTTCCTTGTTGTCCACCCAAGTGTTGCTGAAGACACAGTTCTGACCAAAGGTATCTGAGCTCCAGAGACTGGGAAAGGCCAAAAGCTGCACTAGGACAGACACAGCTTATTAGCAATTGGCAGAGGGCCCAACTGACACATAAAAACCCTTCCAATTTCTAACTTCAGATTTACAAATCTTGGGGGCCAAAGAGACAGTGTAAGCAGAGGTGGTTATGATTTTAACCTCTCTGACACTGTAAATGCTTAAAGTTGAAGATTATGTCCAGAAGGTTGAATTAAAAAATATCCACATTAATTTGGAAAATACAGAGGGGAAAAAAAAAGCTCAATCCAAGACAAACACTTTTTTTTTTCCTAGAAGAAAAAAACCACCTGAAGACAAGAGAGGAGTCGGGGAAGAACATGTAGGAATCAAACCAAATACATTGCTTGAAGTTTTTATTTGTATATTTAAAGACTAATTACAATCTTCTTGCAAAATAAAGGAGTACCAATAGTGCATGCACAGTATCTGTATTTGTATGTGTCTATCAATTGAACCCCAATCTTTACTTCCATTCTAATTTGGACTGAAGTGCACTATGCACAAGCTTTTTACACGTGTACCTTAAGCAACCCCACAGGCCACAAAGCCTCTCTGCTTTTGATACATGGGTAACATTATCCTCAAAATGCACTGCATATTTTCCCTTTATCTTCTCCATAGCTTGAATTTCTCAAGAGCATTGTCCTTGTCCTTCATTCTCTGCACAATGAACATCTGAGATTGATGCACCTATGTGCAACTGAGGAGCTGTCAAGCAAGGGCATGTCCTCTCATCCTCCAAAGGCCTTTTGCAACGCAGGCAGTGCTGTGCAGCTGTGTCAGGCCCTCAGTTGCGCGTGTGCTCCAGACCCAGCCGTCGGACACTGCCGGAGACCTGGCAGACCAGCTGAAGTCCAGCTGGGCACTGCAACCTCTCTTGACACAGCCAGGGCTTGAGTAAGCTATTTTGCAGCTCTTTTGCATATGCCTATATTACCGCAGCACTGCCATGCCTAGCACTGGAAGTGGTACTTGTGCTGGGTGGAAATGCTGTGGGGATGAGCACGTGCCGGGGCCTTTCTACGACTGCAGCAGTCACTGCCTCACACGATGCATGTGGTGATGCGTCACCACCCTCCCATCCTGAGCTTGGCTCCTCAAAGTGGACACTAGCGTTATGTCTCCTTGCCTCCTCCACCTCCTCCAAGGCAAGCCTAGAGATCAAGCTGCAAGCCACCCCAAGGCATAGCCATGGTCCTTCTATCTCACTCTGATCCTGCAAAGCAGGAGCCTGTCAAACCCATACCTCATTTTAAGTACCTGGCTGGAGAAGCCCTTTTGTTTTTAATATCGGAAAAAACACAGCAAGATGACTTCTACTTCCTCTACAAAGGTTTCTATAGTAATCTCGTACTGAGTTTTCCCTGAAGATGCCATACAAGAAAGCGCTATTCCGATCAATTTTGCAGGGCTGCTAGGAACTCAGAGTTGCTGTTGTCACACATCATACTGCTGCTGCCTTCATTTCAGAAAACTGTCATAATCCTATCATGCAAAGTGATTTCAAGTTTGTCAAAATACTAGGCATAAAAAAAAATCTAAGATGAATTTAGGCCAATCTACAGACCACTAAACAGACACCACGGTTAAAACAGACAAATGCCGAATAAAGGTGAATTTTCTATGTAGTCAGAAGGAAATAAAACAAAATACGTTTTTAGCTCACAGGACAGGGAGGCTCATCCTTTCAGATAGGACTTAAAGGACCTGAACTTGTTTGCCGATACACACAATATGGGAAGCATTTTGTTATTTCATAGGAAAACATTTGCAGAATAATAGCAAACTGCCTCGATAGTGGGGTTGATTCAGGGCACATAAATAAAGTGTTGCAATATAAACTGTGGGAGTAAAAAAAAAGAAAAGAAAGAAAAAGAGAAAGTTACTTTATTGAAAACATCATAGTACAGTACAAAATAATACTACATTCTGCTGTAAACATCTTTTCATCTGTACTGTATAAATCCAGTAAAAATAGATTTACTGATACTCAGAAACAATAATCACTGGCAACTTATTTAGAGATAACACTTCTTATGATGTATGCTGAGCATATCCAAAACATGCAAGGGCAGTAGCCACATAGGGTAAAAAAGGACAGTGAAGGGAAGTGGTGGCAGTCTGATACCACAAAAATATCACAGCACAAGGCAAAGCATGTTTCTGCCCATCACAATACCAGATCCAGAAGTGCTCAACTTCACACCATTTCTTTCAGCTTTTTGAGATCAGTTGGGCAAGTAACTATATATTTTAATTGACAATTAGCCCACATGCTCTCTGGAGGAACAGGAGGCACAAGCGACCTGCTTTGTCAAATACACTCTGAAAAGTGCAGTCTCGTCTCATCAGTCTATCTTATCGGCAATGAGCGAAGCTCCCTTGCTGGAAACTCCTGTGCTCTTCCATTTGGATTAGTAGCAGTCGGCATGCCCATGAGATTACACTGCCCCAGAGCCTTGCAAAAATGAAAAGCACTAGCGAATTCAAATGAGGCATTTCAGTGGTTGGACTAGATGATCTCTAGAGGTCCCTTCCAACCTCAACCGCTCTGTGACTCTGTGATCTTTCAGAGATGTCTAACCGTTCAAATGGGGTCTGCTACATATCCGCTGTGTGCAACACACCAGAGCAAAGGCATGGAAAATTCACTGTTCCTGTTGCAAAGGTAAGTGCCTCCTGATTTTCTAGGTGCATCATTTCCTTACTTGTTAGCTTGTTTGGACAAACAGCATTTACCTTGTGTGCATCTAGTAATAGACATAAAGTTTACCAAAACCAACTAATTACGATATTACTTCCCAAAATCCTTGTTAAAAAAACCCTACTGTACATGGAGAGAGATAATTACCTTACATGAAAGGCTACTATGCCATTATTGTAGTGTTCTAACAGGGCTTAACTGAAAAATATAAGGAAAAAAATCTTTATATAAGTCTTTACATTTTTCCGATATTGAGGAGCATATTTTAAACACTTTTCCTTTCATTAATACACGACAGCAAAGTAAGACAGCTTTAACACGTGCTCATTAAAGTTCCAGTGCAACAGCATGCTAGCGCTGTGATTATTTTTACTGTTTCGCTGATGGGTAACCTAATTGTTTCCAAATACAATTGAGTAATTAAGTCTGGCAATGGTCACCTCTGAGCAATGAGAGCTGATTCTATAAGAAGCATCTTTGCCAAGTAAAATGAACCTGCCAACATGAAATGGAAAACATTTCTACTATGACCTTAGGGTAAAATTTCCCTTCCTCATTTCCTTCTTCTCCTTCTCCCCACTACTTTCATTAGAGTTCTCTTGCACATCATGATGTTTAAATAAATCCTAAAATAACAGACTAAAAATGCACTCTTGCATAGATTAACCCCAGAGAAATCAGCAATGGACAGCAATATACATAAGATCACTTTCAAAATGAACAAAATAACTTATTAATTCAATTACAATCCATTAAATTTTGCAGAAAGACTGACCAACAAACAAACAAACAGCAAGACTGACTTGTGGAACATGACCACAAGTCTACATTCATTTCTTGTTTCAATCTAATACCATAATATCACTAATATTTTGCTTGTTAAAAATCAGTATTTTATTTT